GGCAGCGTGTGGCAGGACAAGCAACATCATCCGGATATTGCGTTTGAAAACATGGCGCTTGAGAAAGCGTGGAGCCTGATTCTGCCAAATGCAAGCTTGGCAGAGTCACAATATCATGAAGACGAGGGCAATTAGATGCAAATATTTGTAATTTACTGGTGTATTTTATAGCGTGTATAGTAGCATAGCGATTCTGAAAAATATCACACGGGTTATCATGACGGGATTCAATGTGAGGCGTATTGAGAACTTATGCCCGCCCCCGCATCCTAAGAGATAAGACGGCCAGAGATAATTTATCACACTCAACACCATCCTCGCTACAAGCAGCCTAGCTATTACCTTGCACCACATTTTTCCTTGACACATCGATTCAAGACTTTCACAATAAAGTTCTCTCTCATCGCCATCGCATTCGTCACAGGATACACCCCGTCTGCACGAGTTGGGGGAAATGTCTCTGCATCTCTGCACCAGTTGAGGAAGATGTCTCTGGACCATGGCAAGCTGTATGCCCAGACAAGTGGAAAAGTATTTCGACACGTGCTACGAAACGGATCCGAAGAAAGGACGGGAGTGTTTTCAGGAATACGGTAAAGGGTTGAGATCCTGCATCGAGACGGTCAACTCAAACAAGGGCAACGGCCCGGGCGCCAAGAACAGCCCTTAAAGCACCTCACACGGCGCTTGCAAGGAAACAGCCGCTTCAACAATAGCTGTTTCCCGATGGGCCCCAGAACAACCATTCGTCAAGTTGTAGCTCGCCAGTTCATAGCCTTGTGGCTTCACACCTTCGTGGGCAGAGATGGCTCAATGCGTTTTGAAATTGACAGGTCGGGATGCTTTGTCGACGGGTAAAAATACAAGACATCTATACTAGGAGGCATATGAGGAGGTCAATCATCTACGGAATTAGTGGCGGTGCAGCATTTTCCTTTTGCACTGTCTAGTTGAACCCTGGTATTCTCCTGTCCCGAACTTGATGTACGCTGCTCTCTCATTGTTTACACTGTGGCGTAAATTCAGATGCCCGTGACAGTTGCTCAGATAGCTCAACACACTTGAATGGTTACTAGAGACGTCTGGTTTGTCTGTGGCATGTACAGCGCATCTGGATTTATATCGAAACTGCTCAAGACAGAAAACAATCATCAGTATGACCTATCTCTGACGTTGTAAACTCTAAACGCCCGCTTTTATATAAACAGCCGCTCATGTGACGATGGGTTGGTGATGTTTCTGCCTGTGTGCCCAAGCCACCCAAGCCACATTCGTAGCACAAACATTGGTAAGATCACCGACAGCTTGAATACAAGGTGGGGAACAAATTCGAGGCACAGCCGGACTTGAAGCTGTCAAACTGTCACGATGGTCGCCGCTAAGGTCAAGCCTACGTCATGCCTCACCTCGTTGCCGATATGTTATCGCGAAACCTGAATGCTCTGCATTGTGATATTCAACTGCCCCAAGCTACCAGCAAGTTTTCGAATAAACATTCGAAAACATCCAGGAACAATTCTCGCTCCCTTCCCTGCCGCAAACACCTGAGCCAACAATAGGCGCCCTGAGACATGTTACGTCATTTCTTAATAATCGCAAGACATTGAACGAGACATGCAGACCGGTCAGCAAAAGTCCTGTACTAGTCTCTGCAGCCTAATTTTGGTCTCGACTTTGGGCTGAACCCAGATTTTCGCAGCTACTATTTCCCAGCGTATATCCCGTCTCCAACTTGGCATCCTCTGTCCAAACCCAAACGCCGCCTAGTCCCAATCAAATCCCAAGTCAATGCATCACTCTACAATATTCGTGATCCCCTTCGCACTGGCGTTTGCTAGAGCAAAGCCAAAAACCAGTCTACAATGGGCCATCTGCGACCCAAGACCCCAGGACAGGCTTGTAAAGCTCGGCCTTGACGCAGTGCTACTGCCCTACAAAGAGAACCTAATTATATATTATGATAAAAGGCCGCCTATTTATTTACGTATTTTTAAGTATTATATTTTAAATAAAAATAAATAAAAGCCAGCTATTATCTACTATTAAAGTCCACTTTACTACTAGACATGCAGAGTCTAATCTTGTGACCATGTCGGGGTTGTTGCCACGCTCAAGTAGAGTGATATCCTGACCTGCAGCCATTGGCTACTTATAAGAACTATAAGCCTAAAATGGTGCTTGCTAAAATCCCTGTCCACCAATCCAGAGGCAAAATTCTACAGCCTCGTGCCGTCTCAATGAACAACTACATCGCAGGACTGTAGCCGGCATGCTCGCTCACTCCTTATTTTTGTGCTCATGCAGCTCAATCCCCCAACACTTTACACGGTAATTAAATTTAACAAAACGATAGTATATTCAAAATACCCATCAGGTACTAGACTATACTTGAACCAGTCCAAAACAAACTGCTTAATGCGTCCCTAAACGGTCATGCAATCTTGACCATCTGGCGGTCGGGACAAATCTCAGACCACCCCGTTTTCGAGATGAAGCAGATTAGATTTCAAGTTCTTCGTCGGGGTAGTAGTATTCGTCCGTGTAGTCGTACTCGACCGTGCGGCGAGGGAGGCAGTAAGGGCTGTTATTTTGCTTGTTGAACTTGCAGATGGTTCCGCGCGGGCAGCGGCCAGCAAACTAACACCAAGCCATCATCAGCACAATTTAACCATGTCAGTAATTCCAAGGGGATACGCACCACCCAGTCGCCGCTAGTGTTGCAAACGTCCCAGGCTCGCAGCGAACGCTCACATCGATAAGTAGCAGGCTTGCATTTATGCGCAAAAGGCGAAGCAGCGACGATGGAAGCCAGAGCGGCAACGGCGACAGTGATGAGCTTCATATCAGTGGCCTTGGGAGTATATGAATACTAAATCTGGTATTACTGAGGTCAAGTTTATTTCTCCTCGGTGAAGATGTTAATAGGAAGCATGACGAGGGTGCACTTGACGCTGAAGGATACCTGCAGCTTATATATATCTATACCTGACAACAAATAAGCTTTAATACGCTTTTGGAGCTGAGTCATCTCCGTCTATCAAAGTACCCAAGGCCTGTTAACTCGTGGCGGCTTTTCCTCTGGCGCAACGATGGGTGGCTGGCTGAGCTGAACTTGTCATGTAAACATCTCCGAATCCGTTGAGACATGCATGTTGGCCCCGGGCCGCGGTGAAGTCATAAGTTTTCACTCGATATCCCACATTAGGTCTTGGAACCCTGCGCAGTTATGGGTGACTTGATGCCCACTTTAGTGTTTGCGCTGCATCTTGTTGCTTCTTGGCCAGCAAAGTACCCCGGCTTACTACAGTAGGTGTTCAAAAGTCTGCGAGCACCCCACCACAACCCCACATTAATAAAATACGCGTTTAATAATATTATTATTTTATAATAGTAATTATAACTGTATAAGATATTAGAAACGCGTAAATTTAGTACTAAATTAAGCGCTAATTATTAACGTAACTATTAATTTAGTTTTAAAGCTAGGGCGGTAATTTTAGTATTATTAGATTATAATAAATCCCTATATATAATTACGTGTAAGTTTAATATAATATTTTTAATTATTTATATAGTATTAAAAAACGCTAAAATAAAA